ATGTCTGCGGGCACATTATCTTCCACACCTACAACCTCACCTTCCGGCAGGATCACTCGCGATCTTACAGAGAAATATGGGACCCGGAGGTTGTCCGCACACGTCTTGCAGACTTGCAGAGAAAGGCACTTTTCGTGCGCAAGCTGCGCATAATCGATTATGCTCCTGCCCCGGAGTTTTATAGGTACGATTCAGAGGACGAGCAAGATCCGGAAGACGAGCTGCCGGCGGAGATTGTCCCGGAGCTATTGGACGTGCTGAAGACTCTCACAAGCATCGTCGACGTCTCCATCATGGGCTGTGATTGCCATGACCGGACCCGTCTGTCACCCTTCCCCCGGGCGCTTTGGGACTGGATCGCATCGGTCAAGCCAAGAGAATTAAAATTCATGATGAACCTTTCTTTCCCGGCCGATCTGCAGCCCATCAGCGGAGTCAAGGTCTTCTATATGTGGGCGTACACTGAGGAGACGGACAAGATTGTCCAGGTCAGGACCGACGTACTCTAGATCTTTATGCCACCCATACTCACATTTACGCCTTTGGTAGATGATACATGCCCCGGAGCTGCGTCTGCGTTATCCAAATGAAAAGAACGTCCACAAGTTTATACCCTACGATGGTCTCTTAGACTTGTCCATCGACGCCGACATCCGCAACAACCGACTCACGTCGCAATTCTTCGATTTCAGACGGATGTCTTCAACTGCCGAGATACGCATCGCGATCACATTTAAGATCGAACGCATGGAGAAATGGGATGTACCGGTGAGTCGCACATTTTCTGGGACTATCGCTTCCGCTCACCGGTTGGCAAAATTATTTTCGACGCGCAGTCTATGTGGAGGAAGTATAAGCGGCAGCTCCCAAAGATATTCGAAGAGGACCTCGCTGCATGGGATGTCAGACGTGATTTCAACGATGTGGTGCTCGTAAAGGGGGTGTCTTACCCTGACGGCGAACACCGTCAAGATCATATCCCTGATGAAGACGAAGAGGCTGTGGAGGAGAGAAACGCAAGGGCAGCCCGTGCACGTCATAACGCTCGAGCGATGCAACGATACGATGGCTACTGTTGGTTTTAGCTAGACTCCTGAAGTGAAGACGAGGAAGATGAAACGCTCGAGGCTGAATAAGCGATGATATATAATACACGAGACACACCGTTGGCACACACTATCATCTTTTTGTATGAATACTTGGATTGATGACTGCAGGGACATACGGGCTTACATATACCTGTGTTAAGGCAAAAGAAGGGGATTGTCTTCCAATAAGGTAGCGCACCAATCTTTGTTCAAAGCCCGCATAGTGCCCCCGCTTGACGCCGACTATATCGGTTGCAACCTTCTTATCTCGCCTCATCACCTCGTGCCTCAGTCGTTTCTCCTACCGCATCAAAAAATATCTATGAGGCAGTCAAACAAAACCTCGTAGTTCATATGGAAACTTATACGCACGAAGACTTGTAAAGCCCTCCGCCCCGCGAAGCTTCTGCCACCCCAGGTCTTCGCCAGCGACGTCTGCTTCGATGGCACGCCTGATCGACCTTCCCATTGACATCCTCCTAATCATCGTCGCGCAGTCACTAGGCAAATCACGCCCTCCTTTTCGCCGGGCTGCCACCACCAATCTCGCGCTCGTATGCAAGCGGCTCTACGGCATCTGTGGGTACACCCTCTTCCACACCTACAACCTCATCCTGCGCAATCGTACGCTGTCAGGCAGAGAAATATGGCAGAGAGACATAGTGCGTACACGTCTTGCGCACCTGCAGAGCAAGGCGCCTTTTGTGCGAAAACTGCGCATCATCGACTATGGTCCAACACACGGTCGACGCAAAGGCGAGCCGCAGGATGAGCTGCCAGCGGAAATCATCCCGGAGCTGCTCCGAGTCCTGAATAGTCTCCCGGGCGTCGTCGATGTCAGCTTCAAGGGCCGCGACTGCGATCCCACCCGTCGGTCACCCTTTCCTCACGCGCTCTGGAACTGGATCGCACATGTTAGGCCGAGGGAGCTGAAGTTCATGATGAATCTCACTTTTCCGAGGATCCTGCGGCCTGTTGATGGTATCGATTTCTTGGTTATGTGGGGATACAACGAAGAGACAGATAGAACTGTCCAGATCAGTACCAATGATGACCCGTATTCTGATAAATTGATCCACTTACCGCTGATGCTCGAATCGATGCCCCTGCATGTGCGCCAGATGCTGCGTGCCCCGAAACTGCGTCTTTATTATCCACAGGAAAGGGATGTTCATAAATTTATACCTTATAACGGTCTCAAAGATGTGTGCATGCACATCAATACGCGGTATTCCTACCCCTCGCTGCAATTTTTCGACTTCGGCCGGATTCCGGACGCTGAGGTGTTCGTGATGATATCGTTCTCAATACATGACGAGGGCTTTCGCTCTATATGGGTGAGTCGCGTCGCACTTACCGAGCTGGCTGTCAATTTATCTTAACTGACGGGCCATGCCATGGCCACGTGCCATGGCTATGCATGGAGATCTACAGAACATTTGGGAGCGGTGTAGAGGAAATATAGCAGGGCTTTTTGCGGAAGATCTGGACGCATGGGACGTCAGGCAGGAAGACGGGAGCATACGTCTGAGACGTAGGGAGCCTGGCGGCGAGAATCGTCAAGACCATGCTCGTAGCATAGAAGAGCTACAGATAGAAGCCAATTCGCGCGTCAGTACCAGCCTGCGTGAGGATGTAGAAGACGATTACATTTGGTTTTCCGAATACACGTAGTCATACTTACAGGACCATACTTTATCGGCTCCCTCCGTTACTACACAAAATGTCGAGCCAGTCTGAATTTCGGAGGCTTGAAGAATTTCTGCCGAAGGGATCGTGACGTTAAATCATAGCATTTGCCGGGGGTCAACGCTTCGACAGTAACACGGCGTCAATATTGAAACAAACCTCGAGGCTCGCAGGAAGGCGGTTGTTTGCAAATGTTTTTCGCAGGACGAGGCAGTAGCCCTAACCCCACACTCGGGGCAGCGCGTTCTTCCTGGACCTCATGCCGCCCAAATCTTCCACAAAACATGCCCGCACCGCGGCCCAGCTCCCTAAAGCGCACGAACGGCCCACCAAAAGGGCAAAAACGCAGGAGTCACATGTATCTGCGAAGCCGAAAGCGCGTCTAGTCTCGCCTCCGCCGTCCTCGTCAAAAGGCAAGGAGAAGCAGATCTCAAAACCCAAGCCTTCTTCGAAAACTATACCTAAAGCGAAGGACAAGGCCAAAGCTCCCGTACCTGCGTTAGAATTGGAACATGCTCCTGAACTACTGCCAACAACGTTCAAGTTCGTCGCAGGGTCGTATGAAAAGTTGCTGTACGGGCTCGAGGGCAGCACGTCCACCTCGGCGTCAGGCGAGCTCGAATTCTCGCTCAAGCCGATCTTCATTTTCCCCGCCCACGTGTCGAGCGTGAAGGCGGTTGCAGCGTCCCCATCGGGCGGGAAGTGGCTCGCGACGGGAAGCGCAGACGAGATCATCAAGGTGTGGGACTTGCGGCGGCGGCGAGAGATTGGTGGGCTCATGCACCACGAAGGTCTGTCCTAGCCTTTCGGATCTTTTGCCCTATTAGTATGTTGATGGAGTGTATACATGCCTACAGGTTCAATTACGCAGCTTACGTTTGCGACGCGCTCGCACCTTCTATCCGTCTCAGAGGATGGCACGCTTGCGCTCTTCCGTACGCGCGACTGGGCCGTTCTGCGCACTTTCAAGGGTCATAAGGGGCGCGTAAATTCTGTCGCAGTACACCCCTCTGGAAAACTCGCGCTCAGCGTCGGTGTCGACCGCACGTTGCGTATGTGGGACCTTATGCGCGGGAAGGGCGGTGCGAGCATGCGGCTCGGCGTAGGTACGTGACCGTTGTATGCGATACCCTGCATCTCTCTCACCATTACTGTGAACAGAGGGAGAGCTGGTACGTTGGTCGACTGATGGTACGATCCTCTGCGTGCAGCACCAGAAACAGATTGATTTGTATTCGACAGTACGCGGTCCCTCTCGCAAATTCCGTGGCCTCGCTAATGGTGTATCTATTCACAGGACCTCACATTACTTCTCATTGTAACGCACCCCTCGCGGATACAAGATGTGCTCTTCGTGCCGCGTGTGGACGGGGCTGGGGAGGTGATGCTCGTAGCGGCGGAGGATAAGAAGATCACGGCGTACGACGTGACTCCGCTCATCGACGCAGAAAAGAACAGAAAGAAGGACGACGAACATCCCGAGCTGCCCACTCCAGAGGTGGTCGCGCAATTTGTCGGACACGGAAACCGGTGCGTTCGCGCTCCTGTCTCATCATATCTGCTTTATTGTGGAAGTACACGATTGCTGACCTGAAGGTCAGCGTGAAAGCTATGTCCGTGTTGCGCATCGCACTTCCTTTGGCGGACCGGCCGTCGACGACTATTCTTGGTAGTGTGTCTTCGGACGGGACCGCACATATATATGATCTCTACGCACTACCGGCCGCGTCGCCGTCGGAACAAAAACAGGAGGTGCTGCAGATCGAACCTGATGCGAAGTATGACTCACAAGGTACTCGGCTGACGTGCGTCACGCTGGCGGATGGAGATGTGGGCACGGAGGCGAGTGCAGGAAAGAGGAAAAGAGGGGGTGAGGACGAGGAAGACGATGAGGAGGAGTGGTCGGAAGATGTGGAAGATGATGATGGTGACGACGACGAAGAGGTTGAAGGCGAAGAGGAGAGCGAGGATGAAGATGATGGCGAAGAAGAGGGGGAAGAGGTGTAGTGCGTATGGGTTTTACGTGGGGACTTATGGCCGTACGATGTTGGTTCTAATCTGCACTGCGTTACGAAGGACATCAAGGATCCTTGGTTGTACACAACTGTCCTTCAGTATGTTCTCGAGTTTGTTTAATGACTCGGGATGTCAATGAGCGCAATTGCAACCTTCGGGGGGAGAATGAGCGTCGCTCTGTTACCAACCGTCGCATATTTATTTCAAGGCCCTGTAGTGTAGTTGGTTATCACACGGGATTCTGAAATAGGAACTTCCCGTGACCCAGGTTCGAATCCTGGCAGGGCCTTCGCTCAGGGGCCGTTCATTTTTATCCTAACCTCTCACGTCCAAATTTCAAGCTCGAGCCAAGTGGTATAGTGCCGCAGGCGGACTCAAACATGCCACGTTCCTGACAAGTTCAAGTCGGACTCCCCTAACCACACGCCGAGACGAAAACACTTCAGCAATGAAGTATCGAAAGATAACAATATCAATTGCTTCCACCCTAGAATGCGTCAGGAACGGGAGTAAGTATCTACGACGTGCGGCAAACAGTATTAATCCATAAAATCGACCGCTCGTTTTCGCCCCCTCGGCGGACCCATCTCTGTCGTCGGCCGTGGGGAAGCGTCGGGTGTCGTCGCTGGCACATTAGGACTGGCCTCGTCGATAGGAAGTACCTGCAGTCCCTTCACCGCTTCCGGTAAAGGCTTTTCCACCCACATGTCCTCCCCGTCTGCGTCTTCGACCCTCTTCCCGTCTCCTGCCTCTTTCTCCTTCTTCCTCTTCTTTTTCCGCTCTCTCTCTTTGTCCTTTTCCTTGTCCTTCCGTTTTAGAGGTGCAATGCTCAGTCCCCCGCCTTCCTCCCCATCCTCTTCCGTCACGAACGACACGATGGCGCGTCCCTTGTCTTTCTTCTTCTTGTCCTTCTTGTCTTTGTCCTCCTTCGTCTTCGATTTCTTTGCATCCCGCTCCGTGCGGGGTACGAAGGTCGGCTTGAATGTTGCCAAGTCGACCTTGCTCGTGTCAGCTGTCAGTGCTGGCGAAGCCGAGCTGCTCGCCCCGGGCGGCGCATAGGTTGGAGTCGGCGCCTCCATCTGCAAGTGCGCAGGCACCGTACCCGCCCGCGAAGGGCCTGCTTCTGCCATCTCCACGTCTTCATCCTCGTCCTTCTTCGCGAACGCCGCTAGCATCGCGACATATCCATCATCTTCCACCTCCTCGTGGGTCTTTTGCCTCCCAACCACATCCTTCCCACCGCCGCCTTCTTCCACCTCCACATCCTCCTCGTCGCTGCTCTCGTCGCTCGCGAAGATCGCCTTGAACACGTCCATGCTCGGCCGCTGATACGTCAGGATATCGTTATCCTGGTCGTCGTCCTCCCCCAGCCCCACATTCGCCAGATCCCGCATCTTCCATGCACCACTCGAACTCCCCTCCACAGGCACCGTACCAATCGCCGTCGTGGCCGTCGTCAAATCCGCTTCCGCCAGCGCCTCCTCCGGCCTCCACGCCGTCCCCGCACCCGTCCCCGCACCCACCCCTGCACCCGCCGCGCCCTCCTCCGGCGCCGGATTCGGATCGCGCACCCCAAAGCGCTTGCAGAGCAGCTTCGACGGGACCCACGGGCGCACCTCGCGCGTCATCGGGCCATACAGCCCCATCCTGACCGCATGCGCCTTGCTCCCCTCGACCGCCTCCTCGCGCGCGCCCTCCTCCCTGCGCCGGCGCTCCGCCTCCGCCGCGCGCTCCTCGGGCGTCGGCTCCGGCTTGTGCACGGGCTGGTGCAGCCCCTCGACGATTTTCGGGCCGAGGTCGAGCGCGGCCGCGCTCGTGAACCGGCTCGCCATCGCGCCGCTCACGGGCTTGAAGATCGCCGCGCTCTTCGCGAAGTCCTGCAGCTCGCGCGCGAAGTCGGCGCTGGACTGCCCGGGCAGCTGTGTGGGCGCGAGGTCGGGGTGCTCCGGGTGCGCTTGCGAGCGCAGGTAGGCGATGTAGCGCGATTGCTTGGTGGGGTCGTTGGGGTACGGCATGAAACCTTTCAGTGCAGCCTCGGCGACGTTGGGGGGCGTGAAGGGAGTCCCGCTGGGAGTTTCGGGCGCAGGCGCGGGCGCGGACGGAGTGGGAGTCACACCGGCTTTGACGGACGCGGCGGCTCGCTGGAGCCGCTCGCGGTCCTTTTTCGACAGGAACTCGAAGACGGAGCGGGGCATAGCTTCTTCGCCTAACATTGCGCCACGCTGAAGTGCGCAAGTCAGACGAGCTGGAGCGGTGGAACCATAGAAATATTCACCTGTTCGGGCTGCAAGTCATTTCTCCGTTCCCATTTTCCTCCTTTGTCAACCGCGACGTTCTCCTTGTTCTTGTCCTTGTCCCACACACGATGGGGGTCAGGTTTCCAGCCCTCCGGGACCGGCGCGAATGGCCAGCTGAAGAAAGGATGAGATAATAACCACAAGGAGATATATAAGCAGTCACTTGTCAAATACATAGCACGGCTGTGGGTCGAGGACGAAGCCTGTTGCGACGGGTGTGCCGTCGTCGAATGTCTGGAATCCCGCGGAGACCTGCATACGACGTAAGTGGGGCAGCTGGGATGAGAGTCGCGCGACAGACCATCTTCGGTGTGTCGGCTGCACGGCTCTTGTTCTTCAGCGAGGATGTATCCTCCTTCTCCCGATCGGTCACATCCCATGCCATATGCGTCTTCTCTGAGTCAAGACCCGCATCGTACACGTCGATGTCATCGTCTTCTGCCTCGTTTAGCGCGCCCAACCCGAATCCCGCTGCAAGAAGAAAGTAGATAGGGAAACAAAGTCAATCAGCCGACGCTCTACCACAAGAAAGGGGTGACACGAAAGCCACACGCACCAGAAAGCTTCGGGCCCTGCTGCGCCTTCTCCTTCGCGCCACCGCGCTGCCCCAGCGACTGCTGGAGGTCCATCTCCTTCACATACCCCAGCCCATGGTGATCGTCCTTGCGCGAGGGCACGACCACCGGCGTATCGCGCGGCGGGTACATGTGCTTCTTCGCCTCCTCGTCGCCGTCGTCGTCGAGCGCGTCGAGGTCGACGCCGCGCAGCGTCCCGCCCGCGGCGAGCAGGTCCTGGATCTTGCGCTCGCGCCAGGTCACGCGCGGGCCGACGCCCTGCCCCGGGCGCCAGCCCATCTTCTTGAGCAGCCGCACGCCGGGCGTGTCTTCGCCCGAAGGTGCGAGGGCTTCGCGGAGTTGCTTGGCGATGGGGCTGTGGGGCGGGATGAGGACGTGCTGAGGGTGGATAATGGGAAATACATACTCGTCGTCGATGGTGCTGCCTTGCCGCTGTTTATCGGCAGTGATGCCTAGCGCCTCGTTGTCCTTCGCGAAGGCCGCTTCCAACTGGCTCTCGCGCAGCTCCGCGAGGTCCTCCTCGTCCATGTAGTCTTCCGGGCGCGCGGCCTTGGCCTTGGCGCGCTCCGAGCGAGAGGAGACGAAAGTCGACGGTGTCCATCCTGATCGGAGGAGTGAGCAGGATGAAGACTAGTGTGAAAGAGCCCAGCGTACCTTCTGCCGACCCGACAGTGTTGTAGTACCCCGCAGAGAAGCCGCCCGTGAAGGCGCCGTGCAGCCGCCGCCGGCCTTTCTCGTCGCGCACTTCCTGCTTCCACAGCGGTGCAAACTCCCCCGCGTCCCTCTTATCAAGTGGCGGTAACGGCGTGCCTATCTGGATCGCAGTTCAAATATTAGAACGATGAGGAAAGGATGGACATCTCGCGACGCACGAGGCAGAAGTTCTCCGTCGCCTGGCGCGAGCGCAGGTCCACGCCCTCCTCATTCAGCTTGCGCTTCAGCCGGTACGTGCTCCCCATCCTGCGTTCCGATGAAGCCTTAACCTGCTTCAACTCGCAGCCTACAGAATGTCAGAAGTAAGTACTTCACTTCAATCAGTAAAGGTGAATGAAGTCAGAGTATCCGATAGCGTGGGACGCAGTGAAGCAGAGTGACGATCCGGCCGGCCGGCAGCCGGAGCCAAAGATGAGCCGACCCGGCCGGCGGCGCTGACTCAGCACGCCCTTGGCCCGCTGAGTTTCGTCCCCGGCGCCGTGGAACTCAGCGGGCCACCGGCCACGTACGCGCCTCCGAGACGTTCCAGCTGCTTTGCGATTTTTAGATCCGGGCTGTACGTGCCCTCGGTGCGTTCTCTGGAATTCCAGACTCGAGAGAAGGTGGTTCTGGTGTTTTGCTTGCTTATGGTTAGACTGTGCTGAGGTGAGTGTAAGTACTTTTGCCGACGACGAGAGCTCGAGACAGTTTTTTTCTTCAGGTGGAGTTTTATTTGTACGCCTGCTTTTTGACTCGTGTCGTTTCTGCTGATCGATACAACAGCTGCAGGTTATCTGATAATCTCTCTCAGAGAGACATGTACGCTCGCATGGGACGCAGCACAACCCTGTGTCGCCCCCGCGTCGGCACATCCACGCCATCTCGAGCACCGTCCTTCCTTTCAGAATCCACGAGCGTTAGCAAGATCCTTCCCGCGACGACCATTGGGTCCCGGCCGGACGTCTCAAGGTGACACCACCGTACTTACACCCATAGATCTCACCGATGACACCGAAATGAAGTGTCAGTGCTTCACCGCATGCGCACATGTCGCCGGAAGCAGATACCTCCCAATTGAATCTACCAAAGGCACTCCCTATTCCACTCACGAGTCACGACATCATTCCTAGTACCCCGGTCCTGTCGCTCTTATCAACGCCCACACCGCACCCGTATACGGATTCGCATCCAGGTGCGTACGAGCGTGCGTCTAATAAGCCCTCCCCTGGCCCCATCTCCAAAGCGCTTCCTCGACACTCCAGGCCCCAGATCTCACCAGACAAGCGGCACAGTGGTTCCTGTGAGAATTTCCGCCTGGAAGGAAGACGAAACGCGTCATAGCGCCAGGAAGACCGCAGGCCGCAGGGTCCGAATTCGAAGGCTTACAACTTTGCGCGTCAAACAGGCTGTTACATAGATGCACGAAGCTTGAAGCTCGATGACCGCGCTGCACCGCGAGGGGTTCGAACGGCTTCGCGAAGCATCGGCGGCGGCGATGGAAGTTCTCGAGCAGCATTCCGAGGCTGCCGCAGGACCCGAGCCTCGACGGATGCTGATAATCCCTCGACCGTACTAGGTATGCGAGTACCTCGGTCAGGAACCGCGTCACCGCGCACAAGGATCAGGTCTCCACAGCACTTATCGGCAGGTCGAACAAGGCCGCGGCGGGGCGTTTTTCTCGTTTGCCTATTGCGGCAAATGCATATGTACGTGCATATTTCTCG